GGCTCCTGCTTGGCACCCTGTTCTGCTGCCTCTGATAAGAGAAGCAAAAGCTCAGAGTAGCAGGGGGCTCCTTGGGAGTGGGACCAGATTTCACTGGCTGCCACCCTGCCCCCGAAGACTATAGAATAGTCGACTAACTGCTAAGAATTCATGCAGTTAGTCGACTATTCTATTATCTGATAACTAACATCCCTAACGGGAAAAGGTTCAGAAAAGGGCAACAAAAATTATTATAGGTTTGAAACAGGTGCCATATGAAGATCTATATCTATATCATCTTGGAGTCTGTTATTTTCACTCCAACTCATCTAATGAAGTGGGTCTTACCCATGAAAGCTAATGATATATATTTTTATTGGTTTCTAAGGTGCCACAGGACTACTCATTTTTGAAGTTACAGATTAACACAGCTACCAGGCCCATATACAGGAATTTCTGTGGCAGGTTCTTTTTTTTTTTTTTTGTAAATATGTGGACAATTTTTTTTAAATATAAAGGAGTTCAAAATAATCATGCAATGAGTGTGCATAAGAGAGGTTACTGACAAATGTGAGTGGAAACAGTGACCGGTAAAATTATTTTGTTAAAACATATTAAAAATATATACAGTAATAAAGGTTTTATAGAAATTACCTTCTGGGATTATGGAGGGCAGCGTGGCTGCCATGACCCCTACTCTCTCACCCACCGGTACCTGCTGCTGCTCTACCTGCTCAGCAAGGCCAGCGCCAGGTCAGTGCAGATGGGGCTTCCAGCCAGTGGAGCCAAGCCCAGGCTGCTCCTTGCGGATGGAGGTACTGGTGCTCCAACTGCGTATCAGGGGAGGGAGGGGAGAAGGAGAAGTGAAGGGCAAGGCTGCAGCGCCAGCGTTGGGGGGGAAGAAGGGGGTCTGACCTCAAGCCACAGACCACCAGGAAGGCAGCCACTGAGCCCCCTCATGCTGACTTGGGGGACTATGGCGGCTGCCTTCCTCTTGAGCTCCTCCCTGCATATGGGCCTGGTTACCCTTCTGAGAGTAGTCTGTCTGGTTACTTGCAGGAACATTTGTTCAGTACTGACTCAGAGTCTGACCAACTGAAATAATCAACACTACTTTCTGCAGCATTTGATCATCTTCCATACCTGCAGTTTCCTGTGTTTAAAAGACACAAGCTGACCAGAGTAAGATAGTTACCGGCTTTTGCAGACGTCCAGCAACATAGAGAGTTTTCCAGTGAAGCAGATCTTCAATCAGGGCATCAGTGCCAATTACACCATATTTTATCATCTGAAAAAGCAAAATAGAGTGTCTCTCATAATTGTTACACTGGCTCCATTAGGTAAAAATGTCTGATAAAAGCAGTAATTATTTTATAGAAATGTAAATCCCATAAGTAAAATGTGAACACTAATATTCAAGGTTTACTGGTTAAAGAACTAAATGAAACTAACAATTAGCCAACCCTACAGGACTGTCCTGAAAGATTAACCTTTAATGAAAGGCTCATATGATGAAACCTTCAGGAATACATTCAATCAGAGTTGGCAGCCCTTGTAGAACTGGACCTTCTAAAACATCTCAAATGTATGAATTTGTCTTTCCAACGAATCCTACCCACAACATAAAAAGATGCTTTGCTGACACTTTATACAAAGCACTGAATGTGCACGGACATCACAGTCCTTTCTCTCACTAAGATAATCTCTTCAAATCATTGATCTACATTTCACAATCATACATTTCATACATTGAGCTACATTTCACAATCATACATTTCATACATTGAGCTACATTTCACAATCATTCAAAAATGCCATTTATTCTGTGATTCTGCAAACAGTTCACTTTATTCTTCATTACACGTGTACAACGCCCAGCACGCTGAGGCCCCAATATCCAAAGGAGGTTTCTAGTTGCCACTGCAATACAAATAGACTATTACAAAGTGCCTTTTATTTCAGCTGACCCTCTGAACAAATATTATGTCACATATAACCTCAGCCATGCAGAACGCAATGCTACCCACAGCATCAAAAACATCTCTGATACTATAATCCAAGAGGCGGAGAAAGGGGGTGCTGTGGTCATAATCAATAGGTCAGACGACAAACAGGAGGCTCCCAGGCAATTCACCAACACCACATTCTACAGACCTCTTTCCTCTGATCCCACTGAGGAATACCAAAAGAAACTACGCCAATTATTCAAGAAACTCCTTGCCATAGCTCAGGCCTAAATCTATACAAACATTCCTCGAGAGCCCCAATCAGGAGTACTCTATCTGCTAGCCAAGATCCATAAAACCTGGAAATCATAGAATCCTATGATTGGAAGAGACCTCAGGAGGTCATCAAGTCCAGCCCCCTGCCCAAAGCAGGACCAATCCCAAATAAATCATCTCAGCCAGGACTTTGTCAAGTCGAGACTTAAAAACTTCTAGGGATAGAGATTCCACCACCTCCCTAGGTAACACATTTCAGTATTTCCCCACCCTTTTGGTGAAATAGTTTTTCCTAAAATGCAACCTAGACCTCCCCCACTGTAACTTGATAACATTGCTCCTTGTTCTCCCATCTATCACTACTGAGAACAGCTTCTCTCCATCCTCTTTGGAACTCCCTTCAGGAAGTTGAAGGCTGCTATCAAATCCCCCTTCACTCTTCTCTTCTGTAGACTAAAGAAGCCCAAATCCCTCAGCCTCTCCACATAGGTCATATGCTCCAGCCCCCGCTAATCATTTTGGTTGCCCTCCGCTGGACCCTCTCCAATGCATCCACATCCTTTCTGTAGTGGGGGGCCCAGAACTGGATGCAATACTCCAGATGCGGCCTCACCAGAGCTGAATAAAGAGGAATAATCACTTCTCTACATCTGCTGGCAATGCTCCTTCTAATGTACCCTAATATACCATTAGCCTTCTTGGCTACAAGGTCACACTGTTGACTCATATCCAACTTCTCATCCACTGTAATCCCCAGGTCCTTTTCTGCCAGACTGTTACCTTGCCAGTCAGTCCCCAGCCTGTAACAATGCTTGGGATTGTTCCGTCCCAAGTGCAGGACTACACTTGTCCTTGTTGAACCTCATCGGATTTCTTTTGGACCAGTCTTCTAGTCCGCCTAGGTCACATTGGACCCTATCCCTGCCCTCCAATGTATCTACTTCTCCCCTTAGTGTCATCTACAAATTTGCTGAGGGTGCAACCTATCCCCTCATTCAGGTCATTAATAAAGATAAATTAAGAAAAAAATTAAAAACCAAATAGTCTAGTAGCACCTTAAAGACTAACAAAATATTTAGATGGTATCATGAGCTTTCACAGGCACAACCCACTTCTTCACATGACAGGAGTGTAGGAAGTCCAGATCCAAGAATAAATAAGGGAAGGAAGGAGAGGGGGAGAAGGGAAAAAAGAGGGGAGGAAGAAAAAAAAACCCAGTGGATCGAGTCTTTAAGATGCTACTAGACTATTAGTCTGTAACAGGAAAAATTTTTAAAAAACAAACAAAAAAACAAACAAACAAACAACAACCTCGGCTACACCTCTGAAAATTAATAAAGATGAAGAACAAAACCAGCCCCATAACTGATCCTTGGGGCATTCTGCTTGAAACCAACCACCAACCTGATATCAAGCCATTGATCACTACCCGTTGGACCCAACAATCTAGCCAGCTTTCTATCCACCCTACAGTCCATTTATCAGATCCATATTTCCTTAACTTGCTGGCAAGAATATTGTGGGAGACCATATCAAAAGATTTGCTAAAGTCAAGGTATATCACATCCACTGATTTCCCCATCTCCACAGAGCCAGTTACCTCATCATAGAAGCTAATCAGATTGGTCACACATGACTTGCCCTTGCTGAATCCATGTTGACTATTCCTGATCACTTTCCTCTCTTCCAAGTGCTTCAAAATGGATTCCTTGATGATCCCCTCCATGATTTTTTGGGGACTGAGGTGAGGCTGACTGGTCGGTAGTTCCCTGGATTGTCCTCCTTCACTTTTTTGAAGATGGGTACTACATTTACCTTTTTCCAATCATCCAGGATCTCTCCCGATCTCCATGAGTTTTCAAAGATAATGGCCAAAGGCTCTGCAATGACATTAGCCAACTCCCTCAGTACCCTTGGATGCATTAAATCCAGACCCATGGATCAGTGTATATGTCTAGTTTTTCTAAATAGTTCTTAACCTGTTCTTTCTCCATCGAGGGTGGGTCCTTCCCATACTGTATTGCCTAGTGCAGTAGTCTGAGAGCTGACCTTGTCTGTGAAGACAGAGGCAAAAAAAAGCATTGAGTACATCATCTCTCAGTTCCTTCATCCACTAATGGCCCCATGCCATCTCTGGTCACCTTCTTATTTCTAACATGCCTGTAGAAACCTCTCTTGTTACCTTTCACATCCCTTGTTACCTTTCACATCCCTTGCTAGCTTCAATTCCAATTGTGCTTTTGCCTTCCTGATTACTCCCTTGCATTCTCGAGCAATATATTTATACTCCTCTGTCCAAGTTTCCACTTCTTATAAGCTTCCTTTTTGTAAGCTCACAAAGGATTTCCCCAGTAGGCCAAGCTGGTAGCCTACCATATTTGCTTTTCTTACTGCGCATCGGGATGGTTTCATCCTGTGCCTTTAATAAGGCTTCTTTAAATTGTCAGAAGAAACCCTCTTCTACCTCATCTACCTGATCTGGTGGTCTATAGCAAACACCAACCACATCACCCCTGTTGCTCCTGCCTCTAAACTTAACTCAGACTCTCAACAGGCTTTTTTTCCTCTATATATTGGGGCTCTGAGCAATCATACTGCTCTCTTACATACTGTGCCACTCCTCCTCCTTTTCTCCCCTGCCTGTTCTTCCTGAACTGTTTATACCCTTCTATGCCAGGGCTCCAGTCATGTGAGTCATGCCACCAAGTCTCCATTATTCCAATCAAATCATAGTTCTTTGACTGTGCCAGGGCTTCTAATTCATCCTGGTCATCCCATCGTCTCAGGTATTGGCACCCTTACAGCAAGATTATCTGGCTACGTTGATGCTCTCCTCAGATCCTATGCCATCAGCACTCCAAGCTATCTTCGGGATACCACTGACTTCCTGAGGAAACTACAGAGCGTCAGTTATCTTCTCAAAAACAGTATCTGGCCACCACAGATGCAGAAGCTCTTTACACCAACATTCCACATGAGGATGGACTACAAGCTGTCAGGAACACCTGATGGCTGAGCTATGTGAATTTGTCCTCACCCACAATTATATCCAATTTGGTGACAATTATACCTTCAAGTCAGTGGTACTGCTATGGGCACCCGCATGGTCCCACAATATACCAACATTTTTATGGCTGACCTCAAACAATGTTTCCTCAGCTCTCACCCCCTAGCACCTTTCCTCTACTTAGGCTATATTGATGACATTATCATCATACAGACCCACAGGAAGGAGACCCTTGAAGAATTCCACAGCTTGCCAGGAGGGTGTGCTCAAACCAGTGGGCGAGGAGACTGGCCCTGGATTTTAAAACTGCTGGGCGCTGCGTTGCAGGTTCAGAGTCCAGGGACAGAGCGCAGACTCCGGCCCCGCAAAGTGGAAGGAAGAAGATGGGGGTGGGGGAAGGGCTGGGAGAGGAAGGGGTTGTGCGGAGGAGGAGGGGAGAGGGGGAAGGCACCAAAGGGACAGGGTAGAGGGAAGACAAATGCCAAGGGGCTATGTGCAGACAATGAGGAAAAAGACAGGAAGGGAGGTGTCAGTGGGAGGGGGACAGGGTGATGCTGGGAGGGGAGAGGGTAAGGGTATTGGGGGCTGGAAGAGGTGCTAGGAGAAGGGGTGGGCATGAGGAAGACCAGGAAGGAGCAAGTCATGTGCGAGGGCACGGGGGCATGAGGAGAATGGGGGCAGAGGGTGGTGAGGGGGTGGGCATCAGGGAAAAAGAGGGCAAAGGGGGCAGAAGCAGTGAGGGAAGGGGGAGGCACCAGGAGGGTGCAGGGGTAAGGGAAGATGCAGGTGCCAGGGAATTCTGGGGGGGAAGCAGAAGGGCAGACACCTGCAGGGGAGGGACCAGCACCAGAGGAGAGAGGCAGGGCAGGTGTGTAGAGGGAAGTGTTAGAAGAGGGGATGAGGAGGGAACACAGTAAAGGAATGGGAAGAGCAGGGCAGGTTTGTAGAGGGAGGTGTTAGGAGAGGGGATGAGGAGGGGTAGCTCACATGATCAGAGTGGGGCTACTGGAGGAGTGGGCACAAGGGGGAGAAAAGAGCTGGTGGAGGGGGGTAGGTTGCAGGAGGGCTGAGGGCAGTGAGAAGGGCAGGAGTCAGGACAGCAGAGGAGGGTGAGGAGTTGGGGGGCAGCAGGCACCAGGGGAGATGGAGCAAGGAGAGGAGACATGGCAGCAGAGAGAAAAGGTAAAGGTTTAAAAATATTTATTAATAACTTGGGTGCCACAGTGGCACATCCAAACAAGCCACACGAACTCAGTACTGGTGCACAACACAAAATTCATTTTGCTCATGGAAGGAAACTCTTAAGCTATGTCTATACTGGTGCTTTCTTGCACAAGAATTCTTGTGCAAGAAGTCTTGTGCAAGAACACGTCCACACTGCCATGTGCAAGCTGTGCTTTTGCACAAGAGCATCTATGGCAGTGTGGACGCTCTCTTGCCCAAGAAAGCGCCGATGGACATTTTAGCCATAGGAGTTTCTTGCGCAAGAAATCCCTGCCGAGCATCCACACTGCCCTCTTGCACAAGAGAGCTTACGCCTGTTAGAAAAGAGCGTAGCTCTTGCGCAAGATGCCCTCTCTTACCACACCGTACTGTAGATTTCCTTGCGCAAGAGCAGGTGGGCAGTGTGGATGCTCTGTGGGTTCCTGCACAAGAACGTCTATACTTGCGCAAAAAGCAGCGAGTGTAGACATAGCCTTAGAGGGAACACTTTCTCCAGCCTCTCTGCCCCCGAGTTAATGTCACACACATTGGGTTAATGCAACTGCAGGATAATTGCATTGGGGGCCAAACTAATCCCTGTTGGTAGGAGGATGGTAGGAAAAGCCTTTCGAGAGGGGTGACATGACACCTTTTACTTCTGGTCATGTGTCCATCTTGCCCCGAACGTGTTACCTCTCCTTTTACTTCTGGTCACGTGTCCATCTTGCCCCAAGCGTGTTACCTCCAGAGGCCTGGCTAACGGGAGTCGGGGGCGTGGCTAACGGGGCACCACCAAAAATTATACAAACTTGCCACCCATGCACTGGGGGGCAGCCACAAGACCAAGAGAGTAGCCAACAGGGCTGGAGCTCCACCATCTTGCCTGCCACCAGACCAAGTAAGTAGCTCCCTTGCCCCAAACCAATTCCCTGGTGGCATGGTGGGGGGGAGAGGGGGGGAGAAAACAAGACCCAATGGCCAGTGGGGGAGGAGATGAAAAAGGCCCCACCAGACAGGACCCCTTGACCTGAGCCTCTCCTCACTTCCAAACCCTCAGCTTCTGGCTCTGACCCCCCTCAACATCCCCAAGGCCCTATTCTGACTTATGCATCCTTCACACAGGCAGGGGCCGGGGTGGCTTCTGTGGCCCAACCATGGCGCGTGAGGAGGGGCCACCCCTCCCTGGCCACTCTGACCCTGGCAGGCCCGGGGGGAGTGGGCAGCTGCTCCCACTGGCCCAGCCCTCTAGTTAACCAGTCATCACGTAAGCATTCCAGTAAGGCTAATGATTATTTGGGTTATCAGTTAAGCATTTAACCTTTTACATCTATGATTTCTTCATATAAGAGAGTTTTGGAAAGGCTTGACCTATACAAGCACTGGATGGCATAATAGTTGGGATATATGGCCGTGCAAGATACGGTGTCACAGCAGAAAAGGAATGATATGTTCTGAAACATTGGGAAGCTTAAAAAAGAACAATGATAAATTTAGAACCAAGTTTATATGCAGGATGCTCCCTACCTGCTTCTATTTTTGGGGGTAGTCAATATATAATCCTGTAACAGTTGCAGGTCATTTTCAACAGTTAGAAGAATTCACGCTGAAGAGTTTGTTTCCTGCCAATCATAAGTTAAAGGGAAGCAGCCTAAATAATATAACACAGATAGCAGGCTTCTGTACACCACAAGATTCCAATGATTACTACCAGGCTCCAGGTCACTCTAGAACATTCTTAATTGACCATGCAAGAACAGAATGAAGACAGTTCAAAAGCTGTCATCATCATCATACAAACTGGAAAAAAAAAGTATGAGAGATGAGTGGGAGTCAGAAAAGTCTAAAACAAAGATTCTGCTACCATACATCTTAAAATTAAGGTTAAAAAAACCTCTTATTTCAATAGGACCAGGATTGGGCCCATAATTCTTCTCTCATCCAAGTGCCTTACACTTAAAGATGGCCTGCATTTCTTCCCACCTAGCAAGAGAATATTTTGGTGACTGTCCATTCACCGACATCATACTCACCCTGATACACCATGCCTGAAATTTTTTAACAAAAGCTATAGTTGGCTTCAAACATAGGCTTTCCTATGTCCTTCATTCCATTTCCTGCTTTTGGTAAAGAGAAGGAATTTCATTTTCTTGTCACTCCCACAAAATGAGAACAACTTGAAACAGAACTGAGTGGGCAGAAAGGCATGCACCCCCCCCCCCCCCCCCACCCAACACACCCA